AGAGTAATGATTAATCGTTAACTCCTCCGGATTTATCCGAGACCTCCCCACAAGGCGGGATGTAGCACAAGGTCGTTTTCTTTTTTTTACGTGGGGCTTTCCGAGCCCGTAGGCTTGGGCAAAACTTCACCATAGGCCCCGTATACACAGGGTCGGGTTGCTGTCAACTACCCAACTTCAGCATAGACCCATCTGTTGTTTAAATAGTCCATCTTATGGGGGTGTTCAGCTACTCCACAACAAAGACTTATTTTTTAAAGGGATCTTTCGTAGACATGGCTATTCCGTCTAATAAAAACCATATAAGCAAACAAATTTGACAAACTTTCAAAGCATAAGCATCTGGAAATAGAAATTGTAAGAGCTTTTCAGGTGTTGTAAGCTTGGATGTGCGGGTGGTGTAATACATAACAAGAAATTGGAAATCGAATAGCCGAGTTCCAATTCCTGTCAGGTTCGTTATATTCACTTACGCGCAAATACCCTTGAGAAAGGCATGAATCTACCAATCCCTCCCATCTACTGGTTAATTAATTACTGGTTAATTTTTATCCATAAAAAGAATACCTGCTCGGCCCGGTGGCTAGGATCAAAGTGTAGTATCTGCGCTTTGTGAGCTGCCGAGTCGGGTGTCTGCAGGGTAGGGTTTCGTTGGGGGAGGTTGACGGAACTGGCCCGCCTCGGCGGGTTTGGATGGTTATTTATTTTTGGCTGGGCCTATGGGCTCAGAGATACCCACATTAAAAAGGCCTTGTGCCACATTCGATCCCCGTGGGTAGATTGATAAATACCATCTACTGGTTAATTATTAGAAATTTCATAAAGATCATTATGATGTCCAAAACATTCTTACAATCTAAAAATATTTTTATGGTTTTAAATAACCCTCAAAAGGTTGGTAAGCCGAAAAAAAAAATCAATCACTCAAACATATTTACAGCAGTGGAGTAGGTTATCAGAAAGAATTAAGATGAGGATAGGCAGATGACAAGAAGAACGGAAATGCAGGATTTATGGGCAAGCTGATGAGACAATCATATTTACTCGCTGAATGTCCCAAGTTGACACAAAAGGAGTACGAGCGACGACATGATTGGATTGGTAGGAAAATCTAGTCTCATATGATAGAAGAGTGAACTCCAAAGAAACTGAAAAGACAGTCACAAGATATTATATTGGATTTCTCGGTTCAAAAAATCCGGTCATAGAAGGACAATGACCCAACCTTATTGATAAGGAAAATAGTAAATGTCAAATTATTAACTTTGTTATTCCATACAAGAATTGACTCCAACTTTAAACTAACTGAAAAGATTAAAAAATACCAGGATCTGGCTCGGGAGTTGAAGAAGCAATGGAACCTGACTGTTGAACTAATACCTGTAGTAATGAGTGCACTTGGAACACCACCTAGAAAATTGAAACAACACTCAGGGAACATTTGACATCAGACCAAGATTGTTGACCTGCCATCATTTAATTTGCGAGATTTTTCTGAAAAGTTCTTGAATTGTGAGAACTCAAGCCTCAAGAGCAGAATTTCCATTGTCTACGTCAATGTACGACACCAAAATAATAATAATAATAACACGCCTATCTTTCTCAAGACAATAACAAAAGCATCATATATTTTCATTCCTTCATTTAAATATTCATAAGAAACACTGAGACATTTTAAAATAAAATTTTAAAAAATAACTATGATCACTGGAAATGATTAAACTCCAAACATTAATCTCAATTGATTGTGCCACTCAAAAGAATTACCTTTTTTCTCCATGATTCCTATTCTTTAACCAACTGAACAGTCAGTCCTTGCTGGGAAAACCTCTTTTCGGTTGGTTGGAATAAACGTTAAAATTACGTCATCAAAGGCGCGTCATAACGAATCCTTTTCTTCTTTTTTTGAAGATTTCTTTTAATCTTAATATTTATTTACCATAAAAGGTACAAAATGTGCCACAAGGGCTAAAAATTGGGGGTGGGGAAAAGACTGGTCTTCTCTAGTCCTACCTCAAATCTAACTAGTCTCATTCGTTGACCCTTTCGTTCCTACAATATTCCTTTCACCATAACAACTCATTTACTCTTGTCTGTCACACCAAAATCACCAAAATACCACATTTTCTCTATGAAAAAGCCAAAACATGAATTTTTATTTACACAATTATCGAGAGATGGGGGAAAAAATCAAAAACCCAGTGTTTATATACAATGAAAAATATGTTTGTCCAAGAAACTAAACAAAACAATATTGGTAGTAGGACCCTTCGCGAAAATGTGGCAGAAATCTCGATTAACTGGTTTGAAACAAATCCAGAGAACAGAGATATCTGTCACCTAAAATGTAGGGTGGGGTGGAGACAAGTAACTAAAAGGAAGACAAAAAAGGCGGGATTTATGTACTTGCATGCTCTAGCTATGTTGAAAGGAAAATATTTAGCCCTGAGAAGGCCAAAACTGAAAATGAAAAAGTCCTATCTTACCTTTTGATCGGCATGAAGTCTTAGTATTTGTTCTCTTCTCATTTGAGATGGTCAAATTAGAAAACAAAATAGTCAATAAAATAAATAAATCTACAATTTATACCATATGTCCTGAAGACATCTTCATCCAAAGCAAATCCCTAAATGACATTATAAAAATGACTTACATTATTTACATTAGTTGAACTGTTATTCTCATCTTTATTGACATATTCACATTCCGGATTTCTTCAGGTGACAGGAATTTCGAACCGAACACTTTATTTCGTCCACCAGGGTAGGAGAATCCACAGTCCCATAAGAAACGTTGTGAATATGGCAATGATGATGAGGATAACAGTCCGAATAATATAAATAATGTAAGTAATCATGATACCTCATCTCAGAGATATAGACAGATACTATAAAACTTTTTTAAATTTTTGAAAAAAAGGACGTTTTAAAGTTCACTTATGAACTCAATATCAATAAAAAAAATTCCCATTTCTGGATATTCTCATTGACTATAAAATTAATAAATTTACCACATCGCTATATAAAATATATATATATATATATATATATATATATATATATATATATATATATATATATATATGAACACTGCTATGCAAAAAGTAAGTGAACCACTAAGATAAAATTTAAAATAATTGTCTTTTTTTACCAGATAATCAAAACATCTTAATTCATCTGTATATTCATTAAGACGAACTTTTATTAAATGAATTACAACTACTTTCAAAGATTTTTATCAAGCTGGAATAAAAATATTAATTAAAAATTAAGATGTGAAGATGTAAGTGAATCCTTTATATTTATACTCTCGAAAAAAATAATAAACAAATAAAACAGAAAATGAATTTTGCTTATTTTGAAAATTGATACCAATAACGATTTAAGACGAATAATACAACTCAGTGATATTGTCATAGATGGAAAATGTTTAACTGACTCCAGTCCAGTTCCTCCTAGAGTCCTGAAGATATGTCCCCTATTTTTCTATTTATTATTGATAGAAAAACTATACTTTTACTAAATGTTCAACTAATTCAAGATTCAATAACCACTCAATGTAGAGGGTTACTGTTATGGCCCAGGTCCTTGTACCACGGTAATGGTCTAAGGTAGAACTCGAACACGGATATGGAATAACACAGATATATTACAAACAGGAATATATACAGAGAAGTAGAAAGTGTTAGTACGAACAATCAGGTTTAGTAGGGAGAACAATGTAGTCTCGACCAGTATCACTATTCCAATGTCTTGTAGTAATTGTCTGAACGCGACTCTGTTTCGGACTGCCTATGACTCGACTGACTGACTCGCTCGCTCTGACTGACTGACTGACTGACTGACGGACTTCTGACGGACCTCACTCCACTTTAGACTGAACGGTATTTAGTCACATCCCCCCCCCAACGAGAGCATCATGTGGCACAAGGCCGGTTTAACGTGGGATCTCCGAGCCCGTGGGCTCGGCCAAAAATATGCCCTTTGAACCCATATAAACGGGTTCAGGGTCGGTTTACCTCCCCGCCCGAGACTCCGCCCTTCGGCGTAGACTCGTTCGGGTTCCTCCCCGCCCGAAGGCTGAGAGTTCAACCGATCAGCCTGTCAGCCGGTCGCCCGACTTCGGGCTGAACTCCCTGCTTCCTCTTGAGGCGTTGTATTTATTACGTATGGAATAGTCCATTATGTTATTATGGGTCCCATAACAGTTACTGAATGAGGTTGCTGCATGGACGTAACAGGAAGATGTAAGTACAAATTATGAGGATAAGTGGGATAGATAACGGTTAGCTCTAGACTTGAAAAGGTCAAGATTGTAGTGATTGGGGAAGCATCCTCTTGGGAGTCTGTTCTACAAAGTATTGGTTCTTGAGGAAAAATGTCTGAGTGAAACTTCCTCCTTACTAATGAATTACGAATGGAATGAGGATGATTCGACTCTGTGTATACATCATAACTGTAATGGTCTGAACTTGTGAAACAACAGAATGTAGTTCGTCAGAACATTTGCCATAGAAATAGCGATAAGCTGATGAAGTTTCATTTGCAGAAAAGGGATTGTAGGATTGGAAATAACTCATCAACCACAAATCCTCGGGAATGTTTTTGAACTCTGTCGAGGCTGGAAAGCATGTATTGGCCAGCTACAACCCAAATATAGTAGCGAAACTCCATTCTGCAAGGATAGAGCATGTCAGCAGGAATCGGATACCTCCTGGAACCATACAAGGATCCGACCATTTTTCCAACATCTTTAGCGATGGACCGTATATATGAAATCCACTTGAAATCTGGGGTGAAATTGAATTTCAATAGATGTACATAATACAAGGAGAAAAATTTACCCAGAAGACATATTGACCAAATACAAAATAGACGGGTTGAAGAGCCATGCTCGTCACCCGCTGAAAAGGATGATTCGATGGAGGCGATCTTTGAAGCTTTTGAGATTCAAAGACCACAAGAAGAGACAGAAATTAGAAGGACTAGAAGGAAAAGAAAATTACAGAGCCTCTGATTATCGATCATAAAAAGGAAAAGATATTAACTCCCCCCAAAAAGGGATCTAAGGATCCATGAATATAGGAAAATAATGTATTAACGTAATAATACAAACTGGTAATGCAGGTTAGTAGTGCCAGTAATACGGGTTAGTAGCAAAATATCTAAACAGTCTTTGGTATTGAAGTATTGCTATATGACTTCTTACTGAGTCCACGGGCTCGCTCACTGTGACTCTTGCTGGCTACGTTCGTTCTATCTGTCTGCCTGTTACCTTCACTCTCTGTTGCTCTCGTCTCTCGGGTCTTCACGTAGTAGTAGTATATGTATATAGTGGGTGAGTCTAAAAAGGGGAGGACCCCTCAACAATATGCATATATAGTTTTATGTGTATCTTAGTGATATAAAATTCTATCTGAGAACAAAGTATGTTTGTCATTCCTTTTCCTTTCAGCCATTCCGTTCTATCCGTGAAATATCGGTGTTATTATATCATGGATATAACGATCCTCATAATGGAAGAAACGAAAATGGGCGAATAAATCTTTCTTTCATAGCTCTCTCCCGTTACACCTATATTCCAGAAACAAATATAAACTTCCTTTAAAAATCTTTAGAAAAGTAGACAAAAAATTGTCTTAGTTTTCACAGACGAAAGACGAATATATCTTCAGTTCAATCATTACATCTTACTTATTATAAAACGCAGATTGTGTGTTTGTGTGTGTGTGTGTGTGTGTGTGTGTGTGTGTGTGTGTGTGTGTGTGTGTGTGTGTTTCTGTACGTTTATATATTGGATCGGATTTCCTACATTTTTCAACCAATTTCAACAAAACTTCACAGGACTACGTAAAATTGCCTTGCGGTGGTTCTGACAGCGCCAAAAATTGGAAAAACACAATTGTTTTTGCACGAAATCAATTTGAAAACACGATTAAGAGGCATTAATGAAAGGGGGACAACTCATATCGAGTTATACTTATTAATATCGAGTTATACTTATTATAAAACCCAGGTTGTGTGTGTGTGTGTGTGTGTGTGTGTGTGTGTGTGTGTGTGTGTTGTGTGTTCGTTTATATATGGGATCGAATTTCCTACATTTTTCAACCGATTTCAACAAAACTTCACTTTTTTTAGCAGGTAGTGTTTCTTATTGTCTTGCACACTTTTTTCTTTATTTTTACATTCAGAATGCTTTAAAAATTCCATTTACAAGACAATTGTTTATAATAAAATTCTATTCAATCGACAGACTCATAACGATTGAAAACAATGTTTTTGTTTGAGTTTGGGTTTGACCAATTCGTAAAAAAAAAAAAAAGAAAGAGAAAAAAAAAACTAATTAAGACATGCGTGTCCGTCAACCTTAAACAATAATATTTGTCAATTTTATTTTTCAGTCTTTATGATGGTCGATACTTGATCTATCTCTTACTGTTACATCCCCGGGCAACGCCGGGCTCTACTGCTAGTTGTGGAATAAATGTTAGCAGGCTGGCTTCTCAGATCGTTAGAACTGAATAATAAATTCTAATCCTCATTGGATGTTTTATACGTGTTGCCTTGTACCAAAAGTTAAGCACGTGTTTAGTAAATAACAACATTTCAATTATTTTTCCCTAAAGACCTTCTCCCTTATCGCAGAATTACATGTAACATTCAAAGGAAGTCGTAGATTAGATTTACTAAGCGTAGATTAGATGTAGGAAATGTGGTAAATTCTGTCGTCCAAGTTTGTTTTTTTTTTTCTATTAAAAATCCGAATGTGTAAATTCCAAACAATAATAAAATAAATATAAAGAAAACGTGGGTTTGCCTCTCAAATGAATCATTACTATTTACAAACGTATGTACATGAATTCAAAAGAGTCAAAAGGGATTAAAAACAGTCTTTAGTTGAATTAAAGTCTTTGGGCGGTTGGTACACAGAAAAATCAGTAGATGACTTTTAAATAGTTGATCCAAAGCTGAGAAAAAAGACGAAAAGAAATTCGCGAGCCTATGTGAAATTTTCTTTGAACCAAGAAAAACCTTGTTTTCGCAGGAATTATCCGTTAAGCCTAGAAAAAAAAAGAAAAGAAAATAGAGAGTCTATGCGAAATCCTTTTTGATATAAAATGAGGAGAAAATTTAAATTAATAGAAGGGTGTCTGTAGTCGTGTGAAAAGTTTCGTTTCTGTTCACGCGTCCAGCGTTCAGATTTTTGCCAGTGTCAAATTATTCGCCAATTATATTATCGGTTTTAATCAAGCACTAAGCACTTCAAATAACTTTATTTCAACAATCCAAGAAAGCTAAGTATTTCAAACTATCTCTCTTTGTTTACTTTTGTGTGTATTCAACCCTATAATCCTTCTGTGAACAACGAACTCTCTTAACTTTGTTTGAAACATTTTTTGAATATTATTTTGTGTCAGATCATTTAATCTGTTGTATGAACATTCCCTCTTCATTACAATTCATTGAAACTACAGACTTTAAAATTTTCTCATTTATTTTC